TCTCTCTGTCTTTCTCTCTCTGTCCCTCTCTGTCTCTTTCTCTCTGTCTCTCTCTCTCTGTCTGTCTTACTGTCTCTCTCTCTCTCTCTGTGTCTCTCTCTGTCTTTGTCTCTTCTCTCTCTCTCTCTCTCTCTGTCTTTGTCTCTCTGTCTCTTTCTCTCTGTCTCTCTCTCTGTCTGTCTCTCTCTCTGTCTTTCTCTCTCTGTCTTTGTCTCTCTCTCTGTCTTTCTCTGTCTCTCTCTTTGTCTTCTCTCTCTCTGTCTCTCTCTCTCTCTGTCTCTCTCTGTTTCTCTCTCTCTCTGTGTCTCTCTCTCTCTCTGTCTCTCTCTTTCTCTATCTCTGTCTCTCTCTGTCTCTCTCTCTCTCTCTGTCTTTCTCTCTCTGTCTCTCTCTGTCTGTCTTACTGTCTCTCTCTCTCTCTCTCTCTCTGTGTGTGTGTGTCTCTCTCTGTCTTTCTCTCTCTGTCTCTCTCTCTCTGTCTTTGTCTCTCTGTCTCTCTCTCTGTCTGTCTCTCCTCTCTGTCTGTCTCTCTCTCTCTGTCTTTCTCTCTCTGTCTTTGTCTCTGTCTCTCTTCTCTCTCTGTCTCTCTCTCTCTGTCTCTCTCTCTCTGTCTTTCTCTCTCTCTGTCTCTCTCTCTCTCTCTCTCTCTCTGTCTCTCTTTGTTTCTCTCTCTCTGTCTCTCTCTCTGTCTGTCTCTCTCTCTCTCTGTGTGTGTCTCTCTCTGTTTCTCTTTGTTTCTCTCTCTCTCTCTCTCTCTCTCTCTCTCTCTGTGTCTCTCACTGTCTCTCTTTGTTTCTCTCTCTGTCTCCCTCTCTGTCTCTCTCTCTCTGTCTTTCTCTGTCTCTCTCTCTGTCTCTCTCTGTCTCTCTATCTGTCTCTGTTTCTCTCTCTCTGTCTCTCTCTGTTTCTCTCTCTCTGTCTCTCTCTCTGTGTCTCTGTGTCTCTCTCTCTCTCTCTCTGTCTCTCTCTGTCTCTCTCTCTCTCTCTCTGTGTCTCTCTCTGTGTATCTCTCTCTGTCTCCTCTCTCTGTCTCTCTCTCTATCTCTCTCTGTCTCTCTCTCTGTTTCTCTCTCTGTCTCTCTCTCTGTGTCTCTCTCTCTTTGTCTCTCTCTGTCTCTGTGTCTCTCTCTCTCTCTGTGTCTCTCTGTGTCTCTCTCTCTCTCTGTCTCTCTCTCTCTCTCTCTCTCTCTCTCTCTCTGTCTCTCTGTCTCTCTCGACTCTCCTTTGTCACATGTGTTGACATCCACTGAGGAGGTAAAATGGTAAAATTAAGTCAGTTCCCTCAGTGTGTCATGCAGGGCCACATACTGAAGAGAAACAAAGGGCCGATCCATAAGCTCGTGCTCAGGGACTCATTCAAACTGCGCATGAAAAACAGGTTTCGACTTTTCGTTAGGCAGAGAAACTTGAGTAAAAAACACAGTTTTAAGTCCTCCGGCCAGTTCAGAAACCCTGAGGGCCAAGAAAAATTGGTGTGAGGGCCACTTGCTACCATTTAGTGAAATGATGAATGTAACTGATGATTTTATATAATTTTAGTCATGGGAGTAAAATGATTTTTAGTTTGAGTCCAGATTTCATTTTTTGGTTTTGTTCATGTTTGCGACCTGGTGCTCAAAAGGAGCAAGTTTTAAAAACGTATAGTGCCCTACCACTAGTTTTACATAATGATGTGGTTGAATTTTCTTCTTTTTTTTTTTTTTTTTTTACACCTTTAGAGTGCTTACCTGTCGTATGCATTGCATAAATATACACATAAATATTTATACATACATACATGTGTACATACATATATACACAGTACACGCACATACACACATACACACATACATACACCTTACATACACAAATACACTCACCATACATACACACATACACATATGCATCTAAAATATTCACTACATATATTAAGTATAAATTCATATACACATGCATATGCATAACACATATATACATGCACACATAAATATATTTTCCTTTCTGGTCGTACAAACTAATGAGAAAGCAGGCACAAAGTTTATGGTTCATGATTGTATCAAAGTAAAAGGTCATGTTAAAGAAAATGTGAAAGAAAAACGTGTTTAGTTCATAGTCGTGGTTTTACTTACTGTCAGAGGCCCAGAAAGGTGCAATGAAAAAGCAAGGACCCAAGAGGTACAGCCAGATGCCCATACCTGAAGCGCTCGAAACTGCCAAACAAAGGCTCCAAGCCTTGGCCAGCTGCCTAAAGAGGTACACACGAGATAATGAAGCCAGGCGAATAAACCAGCTGTTCACAACACAACCGGCGAAAGTGTACGCTCAGTGACAGGGTAATAACACCAGAGCAGACCCACCAAGGCTGGAGACTGAAAGGTACTGGAAAGGCATATGGGAGAGGGAGGTATCACATGGTGGATCTGAGAGAAGACAACAGCAACCTCCCTGAACAGAATCCAGTCACCATCACAGTGGCAGACATTCAGGAAAGAGTCTCAGGTATGAAAACCTGGACCGCACCAGGCCCTGACATGATCCACGCATATTGGCTAAAGAAGCTCACTGCTCTCCACGAGCGCCTGACAGCACAAATGAACCAGCTACTAAGGGCTGGGACACACCCTGAATGGCTAACCCAAGGGCGTACGATCCTGATCCTGAAGGATCCCTCAAAAGGTGGAGTCCCATCCAACTATCGGCCAATAACCTGTCTCTCTACAACATGGAAGCTCAAGTCAGGCATCATCGTGGCTAAGATAAGTGGGCACATGGATCAATACATGAGCGCAGCACAGAAGGGCATTGGTAAAAACACCAGGGGAGCTAAACGCCAACTCCTGGTTGACCAAACAGTCGTCCGCAACTACAGAACCCGTAAGACCAACCTGTGCACTGCCCGGATTGATTACAAGAAAGCCTACGACTCAATGCCACACACATGGATCACTGAGTGCTTGGAGCTGTACAATATCAACAGGACTCTAAGAGCCTTCATAGCAATACCTTCATACTCTTGAAGCCAATGAAGCCACTTACACAAGTGTCCATCAAATGTGGCATATACAAGGAGACTCACTGTCCCACTGCTGCCTCATACACAGTAAATTTCCAAGTGTCAAATTAACACTTAAAGAGTAAAATTTTACTCTATTTCCGAGTGTATATGGTCCTTATCTGTACAGAGTAAAATTTACTCTAGCTTCAGAGTAAAAATTTTCAGTGTCAAATTTACACTTAAAGAGTAAGCTGATGACACTCTGTAGTGTTTTCAGAATTTTACTCTAGTCGATTATTTACTCTACACAGAGTGAATAGTACTAAAAGTAGTGTTCATTGTTTACTCTGTTGCAGTGCTAATAATGACACTTATTAGAGTGATTTTAATAACAGCTATAACACTCCATAGAGTAAAAATTACTCTTTGTAAGGGTCATATTTAATCATCATATTTACTCTTGCAAGAGTTAATTTCACAATTTTATAGTGCAAATTACACTCTGCTACTAAAGAAATAAAACCACAAATTGCAAATATAAATGCCAATTTATTTATGTTAAAACATCATTTCAATAAAACATTGACTTAAGATACAAAATGACAGTAAGGTACAACATACTTGGATGAATCCAAAGTTCCATACTTCATTTGAACATCAAATGGCTTGTAGTAACACAGTTCGCTCACTGTAAACACTTTTGAAACTTTGTCTGGATGCCGTTGGATCTTAAAAGCATAGAAATGTTGGTCAAAACAGACAGTGTCCATAAGATCACCACAGAAGACAACAGTCTCATTGATCACAGAAATGGCTTTGATCATATAAAACACAGGTATTCCAGAAAGTACCTTTGTACAGACAATGCAGTTTGGACGATATTCTGTCCCATGACATTTAACCCACTTAACGGAAAATACATTTGTTGATAAGTCACATTTCAACTTGGAAGCAATATCTGGACCTTCTCTGATCTGACAAAGTGGGATGATCTTTCCTGGACCTAAAGTTAGCTGTTCCTTGGTAAATGACTCCTGGCCCAACGCCATACAATTCTGGTGCTTCTTGGCTAAAGTCAGTGTGATGTTTTTGAAGCTTTTCAACTGTTTTTTAAAGAAGTTATGTTTGGCTTCATAGCGCATGCACCAAAAGTAGAGGACTGGGCCAACTTTTCTTATGCTACGGGGATAGTGGAGCATAAAATGATGCTTCGGAAGGAGATTCATTGTTGGAAATAAGCGCTTAAAAAGTCTATGATGATCAGCGATTAAATGTTTTAGGTATATACCGTCATCATACCTTTAGAAAGAACAGGAGAAAATATAATGTTGACAATTTGGAGAAGCAAAAGCAGAAGTTCCCAATGCTCATCTCCTGTCTCTATTAAATCCCCGAACAACAAAGGCAAGTTGCGCAGTAAGCACCAAGATTGTATAGCGTTAAGTCCCAAATCATTGCTTCCATCACACAATTTGATTCCTGGTGGTCGATTTCGCCGTTGAATGTAGCCATAATCAAAAGCATGTATTCTACCTGAAAGCTGCTCTGCACTAATATAGTTTTCTTGAATGTACTGGAGAATAAGCTTCATTTCAAACTGCCCAACACCCTCTAGAATGTCATGCATGATATCAACAGCAAAATTGTTGGCTGTGTTAAAATACTGCAGTGAATTCAACAAACAACTGCGTTTCACACCAAATACATGAGACAGTGTAGAGTCTGAGTCAGCAGTTTGACAATGCTGTGCATGTAACTCAACAGTTCTTAATATTACTTCAGGATTGTCTTCACAGAATACAGTTTGGAATTTTTCTTTTTCAAGAAGACAGAAGCGACAGCAATAGCGAGCCCCAAATGACTCCACAAAGCCAAAAATACTATGCAAGCCAAGATTGTCTCCTGTTACTTGAACTATTGTTCCATAAACAACATGATCAGACCTGGGAACTTTAAGACCCTCATTCTCAAGAATTTTAAGATCACCGACAAGAGGCTCAAGTATAGCGTTAAAACCATACCGCTTGACATCTTGGGCATGAAAAAGAGCACACAAGTAAATATTTGATAGTGAAGAATTATAAACCGGTGGGAAATTCCTCAATGTAAAATAAATGGCACCCAATTTGTGAATCCCCTTTTTGGAGCCTAGAGGATTTGCAGTTTCAAAATCATCATAAAACAACTGAATCTGCAAAGCATCTATCTTCTGAGAGAAGAGAAGATTTTCTTTCAGATAGGTGGCATCCATTATGTCCGAATATGTGCCTTCATTTTCATTATGTGGACTGTTTAAAATTACGGCCAGATTAGGGTTTAGATAAACAGTTTTTAGGGTTTCCAAAATTGGGATGTATGCAAATTTATCAGTAACAACAACTTGCTCATAGGTACCAGTAGATTTGTTTCTTCTACTATCAAATCGTGTGCCAAGAACCTTTTCAACTGGGTCAACAATTTTCCATTTCTCAGCAAAATGTTTTACTCGTTTACTTTCTGAATTTATGGGTGTAAATGGATTCTCAAGCATATGAAAGGACTGCTCAATTTTGTTCATAATTTCTGTATCCTGTGAAGACAAACACTGTAAAGCTGCATTTTTAGCCTGAATGTGGATCTCAGTAAAAGCTTCCTCCATGCAAGAAACAAAACCATTCAGGGTTGACTGACTTAAACCAGCTGCCTTAAGCTGTGCAACTGCAGAGGCGCATATATCTAGAGTGCTCTTGTTAGAAGGTTGAAGCTCATCTGAAGTTCTCTCTTCCATGTAACCCATGTGTGTCTCACTTTGACAACTGCCACCAACATCTGGGACAACATCAGCCAATTCAGTAGCTGTTGCACTATGGTCACTGTGCTTGGCATTTAAGTGCTTTCTAAACCCAGAGAAGGAACCAAACACACGACCACATCCAGTCTCAACACATCTAAGACGGAGGGTTTTTCCTGGAAGAAACCCATGGAACAGTTTGATATGCCTAACAAGCAAATTTGAACTCTGGAACTCAGCTCGGCAAACACTGCACTTCATAGAAACACTAATGAAGTAACCTTGCTCTTATTTCTGCAATACGGGGTCTCTCCCTCACCTTGCCAACATCAATATTGTAAATTGTGGTCTGAATGAATGTGTACATGTTGTACAACATGGTGTGGTATGATGTGCCAAACACAAAATGTGCCTTAAACAACTCATCAAAAGAACTTAAAGAGGAGTTAGACATACAGGGGATGGCAGTCTTGTCCAGGATAATGAAGTACTGGCTGATCCTGTTCCTTTGGGTGCCAACAGCAAGGAGATAAGGCTGAGTGCTAGAAGTGATGGTGTCGAGATGTTCTTCGATACTTGTGCCACTCTGAAAAACATGTAAAAGATGTTTAGTTTTAAAAATAACAGCATAAACTTGTTCTTATGACAGACAAAAAATTTAGGCAACTTTGCACTGGTTAACATGGTCAGAAACTTTTTTTTTCCAGTGATGAGCAAGAAACTATGCACACCTTCTTGAAGACCACAAGATGTTTTTCTGCTTGAGATGCTGACATCTTCCCCGGTTTCTTACGGCCTTGAGCAGTGGGTGGAACAAGATGCAGAAGCAACAAAATAGAAGCAAAGTCACTATCCCAGCCTTTGAAAAGAAAAAAAGAAAAACACAACACACATTGTTTTACTTAAAAACTGATGTTATGTTTTGAACTGAATTTTAATTCTTAGAGGTCATTTGCATGTTAAAGAATTTGAAAGGTTAGTTAATAACTTACCAAAGTCAGCACCATCAGCATCATCCTCCTGAGGATCTGCAGCCAATAGGAGGTCATTTAGCTCTGTGGTGGAGGGAAGCTTTCTGCACTGCTTGATTATCTTCTCCTTGAACATTGTTGGCCATTTCTCCAGAAACTTGCCAGATACAGATACATCCTCACCAAACATCAGAACAAAATCTTGTTCAATCTGTATTAAGAGAGAATGGATTGATGAATTTGCAGCTGATTGTGCCTTTTGATTTACTATGAACCTTAAATTCATCAGATCAGATTTATTTTATCAGTAAAAAAGGGATAAATATATGTATTTAGGTTTTAAATCATTGCAATATGAGTAGACCTATTCTACAAAATTATTAACTAATCAAATATGCACGTAATATCTGATGTCTAGACATAGCCTCAATTCCAATACTCATAATTGATAATTACCAATCCTTTGACGTCTTTGAATCGAGGGAAGTGTGACAGTATGTTGCTTGACAACTGGGGGTCCAGGACCATGCTTCGACGATGAGCAAACGTTTGCTTCATTTTCTTCTTCACTGTGTTTTCATCAGAGGAGTGTTTCATCAGGGACATGGCTTCTCGACATTCTTCTTCACTCATTGGTGGCTCTGGAAGATACTGGGACTCCCGCCTGGCTGTTGGTCCTCCCAACAGTTCGTCACCGCTCATTCCTTCAGTGGAGGAGGCTAGAATGCACAAATAATCAAAATAACTGCAGGACAAAACAGCCCTCAAAATGTACAATATTTTGTCTTGATGTATTTTAAAAACTTACCTTCAATTGATTTTCTTTCTTGGGCATTGCATCTTTGAATGTATTTAAGCCTCCAAGCCAAGTAGCCACTGTCACTTTTACCATCATAATAATGCTCCTGGATGTAACATTAATAATAATAATAATAATAATAATAAAAAAAAGATATTTTTAGTGAATACAAGATAGATTAGAAATTACTAATTCACTGAAATATACTACTCACGTGTCCATTTTCTGAGAAGGGGTCCCAGAGATGGGGGAACAAGCTCACAATTCCTCTGGCATATTTTTCTTTCACTCGTCTGGGTGGAGATGTACTGCAAAATTAGAACGATAAATTACCATTTCTGTACATTAAAAGCTGCAGATAAATAAAAACATACCCATTTTTCTCTGTCATATCAGCAGCAAGAATGTTCACCATTTTTTTTCGGGTGTCATCTGCCAAAGACTTAGTTCGATTGTACTCCATTATTACCCTTTCTCCCCCAGGCTTTTTGGAAAGAATGTCTTTCACCAACTATATAAAAAGAAAAATGAAATAGGTATTAAAACCAAGCAATTCAAAATATACAGTATTCAAGCTGTACACCTTCACTTAAGTCATACATGCTTAGCCTCGTCATCCAGCCGCTGACGCTTCGAAGCAGGACTAACAGGAAGTATGATTGTGTCCTGGGAGTCACCACTGCTGGGTGAAGAAGCACAAGGCCCAGGAGAAGAGAAACTCTCAACATTCCCTTTGTAAAAAGAAAAGTAAAACAAACATTAAAAACATACTGTGTTCTGAGACCATCAGTGAGTTAAGAAAAACAATTAAAGTAAAGAGTGGCCAAGTCATGTTTAACAAACAATACAAACCAGTA